CGAATGCCTTGTGAAGCTGCGTTAAATTCAATGTCATTGCGATGCCACGCAGATTCTGTTTCCTTCAACTCGCATCGATATCGCTAAGTGTGCTAAAAAGCAGGCTGATCGAAACCACCGACTGAATAATTGCGGCCAACATTGCGCGCTAACGTCTTTTTGTCTTGCAACTACGTTTGACTAAATCCTTAGAAAATTTAAAAGCAGAATATGTGTCGTACAATACGTTCACGCACTGTTGCTAAACTAACGAGCAACACGATTCACCTTTTATGAATGAAGTTGAACGCAGCGAATTTCCAATAGATTCTGCCTACGGTGACTGGTTTTGTTTCTGGCTTTTGCGACATTCGAGCCGCGGCGATCATGTAGTAAGGATGTGACTCGTCCAGATTTCCGAAGTGCATCATTCTCTGATTCCCTTTCTTTCTGAAGAGAGCAGAAATTTCTCTGTTTCACACGTATTTCGCGAAATAACATCGAGACAATTCACGAAGAAGCTTGATTGTTTCTGATTGAAAACTGACAACTTTTATGCACAACTTCGACTTGAGACAAGCGAGGAATTGACTTGACACACGCGTATCGATCATTTTACCTAGTCCTTACATTTAATAAGAAACCAATAAAATGATTTGTTCAACTGTTTCAGTGTCGTTGAGAAACGAATCAGAAACTATTGATAGTTGTAGAAATTATTTTTCAATTTTCAGTTAATTTAATTAAATGATATTGATCTTCAACTTCAGAAATAAATGTTTCGTTGAATAAATAATAACGCGATAATGTAAACGTCAGTTCACTGCACTGTTGCGACTGTCGTTAAACGAAACGATCTACTTACAGGAGAATGAGACGTCGATGTAGGACGTGTTATGTCTGACAACGAACTGCCGCAGGACTTCAAGAGGACTGGAGAAGAAGGAAGTAGGTGGTAGCAGGACGCAATATCAATGCTAATATCAGATCAAACTCTCCCACAATTTAAATCCATCACATATCTAGATTCTAATCGTATTATTATTTACAAATATTTCACAGATTTCACAACCAAATGGCAATTACGCTGGCAATTCAAGCGTATATACGAAATATATCTTTAAAAAAATTTTTAATGTTTCCCTGTTAAGATCATTAAAATTATTGCTGCTCATTGAAATTCTTATTTAAACTGTACTGTGAGAAAATTAGGTAGTTTCACACCATTGACGTATACTGTTTAGGAAAATAATTTGACTGAACGAATAAATCATTCGTCGAGAGAATGAAGCAGTACTAGTTTCAATCGCTGCTCCGTACTTGGGAATTGTTATTTTGTTACGATAAAACGTTTCTAACAATCAAAATGCTTGATGCGATATAACAACACACGAAACAGCATATAAATAACAACATGTAGCAATATTTGGGAAACGATGAACTCTTCTTGAGCATTATTAGTAGAACTTCTCTATTTACAAACTTTCCTATATCAATTTACAGAGAATTAATAATTCACCGGAATTCTCTGTCCATGGATGATGATTCACGATTTATTTCTGAACTAATAGATAACATACTGAATGCATGTACAAAATTCACTGGATTTTCTGAGGTTTTTACTTTTAATTTCAAGGTGCTATTTCCGTTCCGAGAAATATGTTGCGTTCCAAGACAGTTTATTTATTTTGTCCGTTTATTCTCAGCTTTCGCGTAGCAAGAGAACCACATGCCCTTACGTAATTTCATTTTCGATATCTCTATTCTTTTTAGTCTATACACACGATACACCTTTGCACAAGTCTGTTTTATTTTTATCCCGACAAAAGAGATGTGATTCATCGAGTCACAGTCTTCTCGTCTCTTCAAACACGTCTCTACTATTTGCTTTTATTTTTCACTTTGCAGTTACTCCGATCGGTACGAGTATATCGGATAGTAACAAGTGATTTATAACCTGTAAAGTACTTGTTTCTTAAATAAATATGCACGATACGCATCGACGAGATTATCGACACGGCAGATTGCAATTTTTTGCTTTCATCAAACAGGATGTGGAAGTACATAAATCACAGACCAATTCGATACGCTATTGTAACATAGAAAAATTTGTCTACGGTAATGGAAACAATACTACGAAAAATTTATCGTAATAATTTAATTCGATATACTACGCTGAAAACGACTACGAGAAATCGACTTCAGAATCATTCGATTTTAGTCAACAATTGCAATAATTGCTCATTAGTTTCACCCAATTCGAATCCAACAGTTGTAACGATTTCAGAAGTTAGTGAACGTCACTCGAATAATTTATACTTGAATTTATACACGAGCAGTTGAAATCAATTTAAGTGTTAATTCTAATAATAGAAAGTAGAGTTTCATTCCTGTTTCTATGTTTAGAAAAACGAGTTGAAAAATAAATATATTCAGAGGATAGATTTACGAGACATCGCGTGCATGTTAAAATTTCACGAGCTCTTAACCGAGTGTAAGACGCTATTGCCTTACGAGCTAGAACAAGGTCTTCAGCGAGTTTAGTCACGAACGACCTTCAGCGATCTCTACTGGTTTTAAAATTCGAAACCAACTGACTGAATCCGCTCCACGCGAATCTCCTCGTGCCGGACGATTTATATTATGTGATTTCACGCTCGTAAAGTGCACATTTTGAAACAGAGCTTCGCATTAACTTCAGTGTTAAACCTGTTTTTGCCTCGAAGGTCAATCACCGCGCTGATGATCTAATGTGCAGCGTCGCTTTCTTTTTTTATTGCTAACGTACCGACCAGGAAAACAAGGAATTCCCGCTGTAATCGCGATGACGTCTTCAACGGTGACGACTATGGGAAAATGTGTATCGCGAATTCTGCCGAGTAGACGCATAGTTATACCAAGTATACAGTTATACTCAATTTACGATTCAGTTGATTATAAATATTCTAGAGTATGTGATTGGAGAATTGATTCAACGAGAAATGATTAGCTTGATCTAGAAACTATCAATTTAAAATATTTGTGTAATTGTTTAGACAATTGGCAGAAAGTACTTTGTAATTTAGAGTATTTGTTGTAATTTAAAATATTTGTGTAATTGTTTAGACAATTGACAGAAAATACTTTGTAATTTCGAGTATTTGTTGTAATTTAAAATATTTGCGTAATTGTTTAGACAATTGACAGAAACAGTACTTTGTAATTTAGAGTATTTATTATAATTGACATGTTTGTAATTTTTAGTGGTCAAACAGATTGTTACAGCCATTTAATTTGTCTCGCGGAGTTTCCGTCATTGGAAACGCGGCCGCTGAAACAATTAATTAAGACGCTGAAAGAATTAATTAGCAAGCTATTACGCTAATCTGTGTATCTCACTTGTTTCTTTTCTGTTCAAGATGGTCGCCCGGATGGTATGCAACAGTTTCGTTAGTTTACACGCTGACTGTACTTTTTACAATATTTGTACGCGCACATTTTACCAACTTTCTTCTGTTTCTCGTGGATGGCTTGTTGACAGAAATAAAGACAAGAGCTTTTCCGCGCAATTACTACATAGATGCAACTAAGACGGAAAAGAGAGAAAATGAATTTTCGGTGGCTACCAGCGCGCGACCTTGAGCCACAGATCTCCATGACTCGTTGCGCATTCGCGCGACCCGGAGCAGAAGCAATTTCCTCGCATGTGTTCCGGAGAACGCGCGTTACTTTGGTTTTAATAATAGCTCGCTCGTATGCGGCACGTACGAGCGTTTCTGTCATTCCAACGAGCGATTGTGCTCCCGCGACGAAATCGCGGCAACAACGGCTCGCGCGTGGCATTCTGTCGCGGAGGGAGGCGTCTACAAATACGGCAGTCAAGCCTAATTTCTTTCGAAAAACGATAAGACTGGGACCACAGATGACAAACAAGTCGTTAAGTCATCTCATATATTTTTATCTATTACACTTTAGCGTTGGTAATCGCAATGATTCAGAAGATTGACGTGTACACAATGTCTATTTAAACAAGCGTCTTCGTTATTTGCATCTGAATACTTTTTGATCGAACGAAATTGTTTTTTTTTTTTCAAATCGTCTTGTTTCAAAGACGGTTACAGTTTTGCGAAAAAGTGACTGGTTACTCGATGACACACTTTGCCCGTATCGTAGAAATTCTCATTCTTGCGCTTTCACTCTCGCCTTGGAATGTTAAACGAAGCAACTCGAGTCAGAGGAATTGACGTTGCGTTTTAAACAGCTGTGTAATTAATTTCATTAAAGAAAGAAGCTGCATGTAGTTGCAAATGATGCGCAAAGATACGTCACAACAATATGACAAGTAGAAGAGATATAACACGTGTGTAGATACAGTATTAATATATTCTTCGAGTCCCATGTCTCGGTTAGTAGCACAAACAGCGTGTTAAACATCCGTACAAACGTACAAAAACATACAAAAAAAAAAAAATTAATATTGTAATTTCCAGTCTATACGAGACGTCGATTGCGGAGGTTCCTCTTTTTCTCTCTACCTTATCTCGTGCTCCGAATCCTCTTGCTGCTCCTTCTCCTTTGTCTCCTTCTCCACGACGATCTTGTGATAGAAATCTTTCCACATCGCCTCCTCGTCCATTCTCTGGCAGGTACGTTCTTCACGCCCCAGGTGAAATTCACTCCTTCCTTAATCGATAAAACTAGCTCTCTCTCTCTCTCTCTCTCTGTCTTTCTCTTTCTTTCTCTCTCGTTGACGAAACGTCACTTTTGCGGCACTCGTGCGAAAGTTACGGGTCGCTCATCGCTAAAGTCACACAACGTTCGACGAGTATTGCCAGAAATTCCAGCGAACAACGACGAGTTAACGCCGGTAGGTCAGCTGAAAGCAGCCAGCACTTGTCGCGAACACGCCTTGACTCTTGCCATTCATCGGTGCTTCCCTTCCAGCCGCTAGATGGCGGATGCGCACGGGCCACGCATCGATAACATCCTCTAGATTCTAATCACTGGCTGATAGCGCTTCTTCTTTCATATCTGATCACGTTTGCGATCTCCTTTTTTATCTTTCAAATTGTTACGAGATGTAAGATACTCTGTATAGGTATCTGAAGGCAGAAGAACAAGTGCACGTTTCACGCACGAGCATTGTGCTTTCGTGGAAACTGAGATTTGTTCACCTTGGTGCCAGATCTTGGTCCCGGTACTCCCGATGGCGCCACGATTCTCGAATAAACAGATCGGTGAGTCAACGTTCAGAGATGAGAATTGTCATCGTAATGACATCATGCAGTTCGCGTGGCAGGTGCATATATATATATATATATATCAAAGGAGGTTGTAAAGTTGCCAAGAATGATTTAAATAACCGAGAGATGATTTTAGATTTCGTTTCGTCGAGTGTCATTAGCATGGTGCGTCAATAACAGATAATTCTGACATCCCGATTCTACACACAATTCTTAAAAGTTCTGCGATTGAATAATATTGTATCGTTGAATAACAGAAGAAAAAATTGAAGGAAGTTTAAGTAGAGATCTTTGAATTTTTACTCGGCGTGTCCTCGATCCTATTTTCAACATTATAAATCTCGTTTCCTATTGCTTATCTTTACACGTTTCGCTCATTCGGTAATATTTCATTCGAAATTCATAAAAGCTGTCAATGCGAGGACACATGCGTATGGTTTAAGAAGTTTTAATCTGCAATATGCTTGGGAACAGCGCAATATTTCATATTAGTTATCGAGAGTGTGTATCGCACGCTCTACCTGTCGAAAACATTATACCAGAGTACTAGAGTATAAAAGAGTGAAGAAGAAACGATGTTGCTGGCAAGTACTTACCTTATTCTCACCATGATTTTCAAGCTAATTTCGTTTCTCGTGTTTTTAAGTAAGTCTTTGAAGAAACAGAGATTTCCCTTCTTTTTTCGAAATAGCTTCAACTTAACAATATATATAAATTTAATATATTAAAATATTAATAATATATATATCATTAATATAATATTATAATAATTATAATTATAATATTATAATATATATTATGTAATAATTATAATTATATCATATTATATAATAATTATTATGTATAAACTATATATTATATATATATATATATATAAACTTAATATATTAAAATATTAATAATATTATATATATTATATTTTATATTATAATATAATTATATATAATATTATAATATATATTATGTAATAATTATAATTATAATATTATATTATATAATAATAATTATATATAAACTTAATATATTAAAATATTAATAATATTATATATCTCATATAATAATAATTATATATAAACTATATTATATATATATATATATATAAATTTAAAGATTTTCTAGTAGAAGTTTCGTAATTTCACGCACAGGTCTAGCTGCACGTTTCTCAGTTTCCGAGCACGTTGCTCGAAATGATTCGCCAGTTCTGCACGATGCTCGGACAGATCCGAACAATTTTGTCTTGGTCAATCCCAGCCAAGTGCGCCGTTTGGAAAGAACGATTCGGAATTTCTTTTCAAAGATGTCGGAAGTTACGGAGGAACCGGCCGCGCTAAAGTCTAAGTCGTCCAACTCGTACAATCTGCTGTCGACTGTTCGAGAAATATGCAAGAGCATAAGAGAAAGACTCGTGCAACTCGCCCATGACGTTGGGCTGATTAATACCGTTCGACGATACGAAAAAAGCTCGAACGCGGCTCCGATGTCCGACGACTGGTATTCTGAATCGCTGTTGCAGAGCGTGTACATGATACGCGACTTGGGGAACGTGATTAATGAAATTAGATCATCGACTGGTTTGTATATTGAGGAAGGAAACGCGACTTCCCGGGAAGGAAGCAAGGTTTGTACAAGATTTTGTGAAAAATCTCTGTAGAGATCTCCACGAACGCGAACGTTTGCAAATTAATTCTCACGGAAATTCACGAATTGAATCATTGACACAATTCCAGCAGCTAAGCAGGCAAGCCAACGGCTTCAAATTCCTTGGTGTAGTGCACGATATAGCCGACTATAGCGATAGACTGTTTCAATGTCTCCTGGAAATGATGGACACGAGGAAGCACGGAGCATCGTCTTTAAGCCTAAATCGAGCGATCTTCCGCCTGGCGAAACAATCGCCGAAAGCCACCGTTGAAACTTTGAAAATTACCGCGAGAAACACTTCGCAGGCGAATCTCCTTAAAAATCATCCGCGACAAAAGTCCTGGCACGTGTATCTTTGTCTTTCGATGTTGAACGAGGGAATCGATTTCAACGATTGCGTCCGTGAGTTGCAACGGTTCGACGAATGTGCGAACAGCTCGAGACAACCATCGAGCGCGGGAACGCGCAATTCCGACGTGAAATCGTGGACAAGGGCGATTCGAAGCTTGAGCGACTGCAAGATCCTGGTAGACAAGTACGGGGAGACGATGGTTTCTTGTCACACTGATCGGAAAATACCGATGAGAATCGAGAGGAAGGCGAGGTACGTGTTTGAAAAGATGCTGGGTAAAAAAATATCCAAGGGATCTCCCTTTTATCGCGCTGCCGGCGATCTCGGCGACACGCTGTCGAAAAGCGAACTGGGACAAAGATTCGTCGACGAGTTGTGCCAATACGTTCGGATTTACGAGGATGGCCAGAGGAAATTGAAAAGACTTTCGAAGTCTGTGCACAGGGACAGAAGAGCAATGGTGAAGTCAGTATCAGTTTACACTGAATTTTGATTTAATTTCGTTTAGCTAGGTTGCAGCGAATTTGGAATATTTCAAGAGACTCAACAGTCAGGTGGAATTGGAAAGAAGTTGTTCAATGAATTGTCAAATCCTCTGCCACAGGCACGGGGAAATCTCGAAGGCGTTGAAACTGTACAAAAGGGGAGCGTTGGTAAGAACGTTTGGAGCGATAAACAAAATGCACCACTCGGCAATCGATTTTGAAAAATTCTTCGCCGAGGGGATGAAGGATACTTTGACGGAAGCTTGGCAGAGTCACGTGAGGATTCTGTCTAGTCTGATGGACTGGATGACCAAACTGCTGGAGCTTCACAACGGCGGGAGTTTCAGTGGAAAGGAGCCGAGCTCGTCAGACACGAGCACGTCGCAAGTCGAGTGGAATAGCGACGAAAATTCGAATTCCGAAAATATGCAGGAGCTTGTTGCAAGAGCAACTCGTCCAAGATCAGGTTACTACAATTTATATATCTTGTCCGGATATTTTATCGATTTATTCCCGAAACAACGAATCGTTATTTTCTAATAGAAACATGATGCGTCTGTTCCTGAATGACTTCATAGAGAGATAAAATTCTAATTTTATACGCAGGACGTACAGATATGAAATATATAAATGTTTCGTTTCGCAGAGATGATAAAGGATGTGGACAGCTCTATGAACAGTCTGATAGAATCGATGAATCACCTAACCAGACATCGGAACGCGAGCAACAAAAACACGCTGACCTGTATTGCAAACAATCTTCTTTTAGTCATGATATTTATGGAAACTATCGGTTTCGTTTCCTCGTTGTACTGCCTCGGCCACTCTACGAACGATCAAACTTCTTCAGAGTTTGACGACGAGTGGAACCGTGAACGTAGATCATTGGTTGCCGCGGAATACGATGAAATTGTCGATTTGATTTCGCGTGATTATCTTCTCTTGGATAGAAACTCGGCCATTTTTGAACGAAAGCGCAAACACAATAAAAATTCCAAGTAATCTAATTCTACGTTACGCGAATGTAATGAGAGATAGAAAGTAACGGGTGAATGTAATAAATAGAAATTTTTCGATCTCTAACACGACAAATATATTTATTTCCCTTGTCCTCGTCAATTATTGGCAAACGTGTGAATCTTTGTTTAAAAGAATCAGAGTTTTTCGAATCTGAAGCTCTTCCAACGATATGAGATGATATTTTTTAAAAATTGTTATCACTTGGAGGAGTTGAACCATTTACTCTAACCTTCCGACTTATCCAATCTCTCTACTTGTAGATAGCAATAATTTTCGACGATATATAAGCAAAATGGACGACATTTATAGCTTCCGAAGATAGAAAGCATCCTGTATGCCACATAGATTTATTAAACACAGTCGGTGAAACTGCTGACAGAAATGCACGGAATATCCACTATTTTCTTCCTAACTTGTGAATATCCTTTTTTTAATTTTATTTCATCTATTCAAAAGATTACTATTTTCTCGAACGTTAGCAATCAATAACTTTTGTCCATATTTCCAGACACCCTTGCTATTGCAGGAAATATAGGAGACGTATTTTGTAACACAACTTTTGGAAGAATCATCGGAGGTCGTCCCGTTGGTATAAAACATCGACCATTCATGGTTAGTGCAATTAATCGAGCAAATATTTTTCGAGATAGTAAAAGCATTGTTCCAGCTCTCTTTGCACAGTTTCGACGGACTTGTGTGCGGCGCTAGTATCTTGTCCCGGAAATGGGGCATCACCGCTCTTCATTGTTTGTGAGTTTGTTATTAAAAAAGTTTCCACGTTTCCCATACAATAATTTGAACGAACATTTTTTTCAGAGCTTCAGAGAGAACAACAGGTTACTTCGTTCGAGCCGGCTCGAGCAAACTTTATCGAGGAGGATCGCTGCACAAATTAACAAAGATACACGCGTACAACGGCACCGCGTACGAGTATTCGGAATTGAACGTGCCGTATCACGATATAGCGCTGTTCGAAATACGACCCCCCTTTCGATTCTCGAGCACTGTTCGAGCGGCTCGATTGCCAAGAGAATCCAGCAGACCACCTCGAACACTGTACGTTTGTGGCTGGGGTCACACCAACAATCGAAGCGTCGTGAGTATCTTTCTCTCTAATCGTCATGCTCGGTAGTTTCCAGTTTAGATTTATAATTTCGACGCTCCTTCAGCTCGCGAGAGCTTGAATTTAAATCGTTTAAAATGTTGAAAATTCTCGATTTCCACGACTCGCAGATTCGGGAGGATTTAAAGAATTTACGAGTCATCGTTTTCAACGTTGTAAATCCATCGTGTTTCTAAACTCTCGAGTCATTCTAAAATTTATAAATTTGCGAATTTATAAGTCAGTAGATTGTCGAGCGATCGAAACTTTCCCCCCCAGGCAACAGTAAGCGATCTTCTAATGGGAGTCTACGTTCACTACACGCCGTACGAATGGTGCGTGAACGAAGTTCCAGAATATAAGATGCTCGTGAAGAAAGAGCACCATCTCTGCTACGGGGCACGCGGGAAAGATTCTTGTTACGGTGACTCTGGAGGGCCGCTGGTGAGTGGGAACAAAATTTACGGTGTCGTTTCTTTCGGTCACCATTGCGCCGTAGCGTCGGGAGTGTACGAAAACATTTCTTACTACCGGCGCTGGATTAAACGAATTACAAATCTGTAATCGATGGACAGATACATTAAATATCATATCTACTCTCCAATATTAAATATTATTGGACGTCTGTTTACTTTCATACTTTCTTTCATCTGAAAAACGCAGCTCCAAATCATCTTGTCGTCTAATCTTGACCAGATAACATCGCAACGTCGTTGTCGATTTCAATTATTTCCTCGTTGTCGTTCAGTCGGACAATCGAAAGCCAAGCGAGTGAAACGGAGAATCAGTCGGTCAGTGATCCGCGTCTCGCGTCTCGCGCAAAAACAATCGTTTCTAGAAAGATGAAAAAGCCGTGTTCAGTGCCAGGACGCAGAGAACCGGTGCCAGTGTTCAGGTTCGATGCACGCAGGAAGTCCATTACGCACGTTCTGCGCAAGATCCTGTCGCGCACACAGCCCACTCGACTCACGTACCGTGTACTTAGAGCTGAATGAAGTTCGGACAGGGCCCTTGGGTAATACGTAATTAGAAACTATTGTGCGCGTACGGCGTTTCGTATTATCGGCACGCATGATGCGAGAATGGTTATTTCTGAGCGTGGCACTGTCTCGTGCGTATTCGTGCATAAGAATGAAAGATTCTCTAGAAGAATCACTGAATCACTAAACTCGCCGCTAAAGCGACGAGAGAATCGAAACTGTATGCGCGTTTATTATCGATCATGTCGTACAGGTGGTCTCGAAATTCTCGTCGATCGAACGAACGTAAACAATTGGAATTAAGTATTCCCCACGTCGTACAGTCTATTCAGCTATCGTTTCGGGCTATCTTTTCGTGCGATGGTGGGCACGCAAGCGTTACACCTTGCTGTCATTTACTCAGAGTGACTCAACCACGCTCGTTTCCCCGCATAAACAACAACTGCCGGCTTTTCCAGCGGGTCTTTAAACTCCCTTGCCACGTGCACCGTGTTTCCTAACCGTGAGAAGTGCATTATCGTCGGTCACATCCGTCCATTTCTCTTCTGGCGCGTTATCTATTATCGGTGGATAAAGACGATGACCATCCGACGATCGTGACCTCTTCGACTAGCCTTTGTGCGTCCGTGGTAACGAATAGCGAATCCTCGTTCGTCATACATGCTATAGATCACAGCCGTGTTGACCACATCTAGTCGGATTGTGACTAGTCGAGACTTTGACACTTTGATAATTAGAATCAGCGTATAATTTTTTTTAAAATTGACACATATTGCGTGACATGGCTCGAAAAGAACGAAAATATTGAAATATCAATAACTAATAGTTTTTAATAACTCGTTGCAATATAATATTGGAACATCTTCGACTATAAATTATATAATTATAATCGATACGTTCGTGCATGCATCTAGATCTGTTATGGATCCGTAAAGAAGAAAATGGATTTAATGGTTGATACGACTCGGGGGCACGTAACAACAGGTCTTGTTTTTATCGAACCAAGTTGCCATGGTTCATTCATGCGCTTCGAATTTTATTTATTTCTACCAATTTATTTTATATTTATTTTTATCTCATTAATGAATCTTTTATATTCGTACAAAGTAAATGACACACTCACCCTGTTATCACACAAGGAGAAATCTTATTCGTTCTCAAAACTTTTCGCTTGAACGCAGCGTACCACGTGCTGTTACCACACTTTGGGCAGCAGTTGCTTCCTGACTCAGTTCTCGTCTTCACGCTTTCCGAATCACTGTTATCGGTCGCGCTTTTCTTGCTCAAGGTCACGGGCTTTTCCTCGACACCCACGATTACATATTCGTCCAAACTGCTCCTCTCGAGTCTCCTCTCTCTCGACTTTATCGCGACAAAGGCTCTCCCCGTAGACGAATCAGACTCGTCGTCAGTTATTATCGACAAATTTTTATTCGTCAAGTATCTCTCCTTATACGCTTGCGTGTCCTTCGCTTCCTCGCGTTCTGCAATTCTGTTTTTAATCTCGGCTGACTCGGAAGGGACATAATTTCTACCATTTTCTTCCCTTGTCCCCTTGTATCCTGAAACTCTGTTCTTAATCTCGGTTGATTCGACATTGTTTTTACACGTCCTCGTCTCCTTCGTTCTCTCGCGTTTCGAAATTCGGTCTTTAAGCTCGGTCGATTTGACAGACAGCCGTTTCGATGACTTTTTACGACGACGCTTCAACTTTTCAAAAATGGCAAACATTCTTTTGCGGTGGACGAGAATGAAGTGCAACTTTGCGAATGCTTGCAATGTATTTCGTTCAAAGATTTTTCGTTTTAAGTTCACGATCAGAGTCAAGTGACGAGTGCCAAAGACTTCATGTCTACTTTCGGACACGAGAGTTTCATTTATATATCGCTACAATTCTTTAGAGTTTAGCGTACAACGTGACTCGTGCGAATGGCGCGCGCGAAACCGTAGAACTGAGCTCCAGCCACGTTAAATATTCTCCGAATGGAAGTAAGTATGTATGTACTATAGTTGGTTGTTCTACTTGGAGAAGGGGCACTCGTCACTTTCCCCGAACCACTATTGGCTGTAGATTCCCCTATTTTTGCCCCATCAATTTTCCCTCGAACGAACTACAAATTGTCATCTTGAAGGAAATTAAAAACTGTTTATTTCAAAGATAGTTTAAAAACAAGTGAAACGTTGAACAGGAACGTTTTCTTAGACGTTTGCTTTAACTTGTAGATTTTACTTTAATTCTGAACACATTTTTCAAAGACTGTTTCTATCATTCCTCAAGAGATTCAAAATATATTTTATTCGATTCAAAGTATGAACGTTTCCATGCTTGAGAAATTCCTGTACAGTGCCACATTTATCAGTGACAGTATTTAATTTTTTAAACGTGATTCATACATTCGAGCGAATGTTTTATATTCTCATACATAGACTTTATATATAATAGATAAATTGTATTATTTATATTATTCCGTATCAAACAATTCATATACTTTTGAAGGATAGTGTACGTCTGTCTATTCTAAGATGTAGATGTGCAACCACGTTGCATATGAATCTTAGAATATTAAGTCTGAGATCATACATGGGAAAAACGCTGCTTTTACAACGATTGAAATGGAAACGACTTGCGTCGTCATTATTTCTCCCCCCGTTGTGAATTTTTCACTCTGCATCGCACTATTTTTTCCACTGCGATGCACTTCACAATTGAGAGATACATAAATGCATAATTAAAGAACGAGCAGATATACGTGATTCCCCGGAGTATGATACTGCGATTCCGACCTTCCAACGCTGCTAAAATACGCTGATACGATCGCGTGTATCAAAGCGTGATTCTGTATTAACAGCAATAACAATCGTGACATCACCGAAATCACATTGAACGTAACCGACAATTAAGACATAAATTATTGTTAACGACGATCCTTGAGGAATCACGTTCCAAAGAACCATTTTTTCATTCGCTAGCACAACTAGAATTAAGCATAACTGGAATTTCCAGAGAATTTTTATTTTCGAACAGAATGGAAAATTCAATCAAACGTTCATCCATGATCGTTGAACGATTGGGATGTTTTGCACAATTTTTGCCAGATCACAGATGTGCAAAAGTTGCGTGGCGAAAAAATATTTAAATTGTGCAATATTTTATTTCATTTTATTTTATTTTATCTCTTTTTTCTGCAGTAGAGAAATTTTTATCAACAAAATGAAATAAAATAAATTGTTTGCCCACAAAAGGTGAGAAAGAAAATTGTTGAAAAAAAAGGAACCAAAACAAAATTAAAAAAAAAAAAGATTCTCCAAAAGTGAACTTGATTTTATTTTTTCTATTTTTTGATGTTTCCTTTCTCGTTTGTCTTGCCTCATCGTTAGCGTTGATATATTGTGGCAAAGGTTCTCTCGTAGCAGAAATTTAATGGTACTCACATTGGCGTAACCCTCTGGTAGAAAATTTTTGGAATCACCCTGATCCAAGTATTTTCGTGGGCGTTGTGCACCGTCTTTGATCGAGCAATCGGCTTGAACAATTTCCAGTCGAACATCCTGCAGAGACTGTCACTCGTGAAAATATACTTGCTCGCAATGTGTGAGCTCGGACGAGAGACGCCGAGGAACAACGACCAAATGCGTCACGGTTTGCAGAGGTTGAAGCATTGAACAGAGTTCCACTATTTGAAGGAAATAATGGACAGCAATTACCTGCAATTGGACGTGACGGCACGCATACGCTGGCTGAAGGGGAAATATTGTAATCAGTGTAATCTCTTATCACGACTAGGAAAAGAACGATTTTTCGATATTTTTGCAAAATACTTGAAAAATGGTAACAGAATATTGCCCAATATTGTAATAAAAAATGAAGAAGTTGACGTGTTAAACGTCTAAACGATGAAATCCAGCGGTAGACAGAAAACGAAGACTCATTCACGACTGGAAATCGCAATTATCTCTGTACAGTATTAACGTAAGAAACTAACTTTACGACGTTATTACTCCCCTTTGATCTTTCGAACGAAAAATCCTCATTTTCCTGTTCATCAAGCGCCCTTGCGTTCCTGGATTCCATTTCCTCTCTCTTTCTCCATTTTCCTTTTCTTCTCGCGCCGTCACATTCATTACGCACACTTCCCATTTAACGTTTTTCCCCCGCGAATTTTCACAATTTTCAATAGTTGTCATATTACCCGTGACCTCTTGTTAAATTTGCTCAAAGAAGCGGGAGAAAGAAAACATTCAAAGTCTACAAAATCTTCGCGATAAAACCTATCTGACGAACGGCTCACGAACGTAATGATCTCACGTCGAATTGTGAGACGTCGCCTAATCTAAATCTGTATCCCGAAATACCTGCGTAATTTGAACAAAACACACGAGCGAGGCCGCATGATTCTCCAAAGACAAAGAGTCGATAATCGAGAGGCCAGCGAGATACACGCGACTTACTCCTCGTTTACCTCAACCCCATCGGCGTTGGAGGGGGAGGAAGGCTTACGTTCAATGTTTCCTTGGCGAGTCCATCAAGATTTCCCTCTCGGCGACCGGGTCGCCACGGACGAACATCTCAATCAATCCGTTGGGG